CACTCCCACAAAGGAGGCCACACCCACAGAGTAGGTTCGAACAATTTTTGAAACCCACCACTGATGCATGCATATACATGCGTAAACATCATTAGATGTTTGTGTATTTCTTACATCTGATCCGCTTGGACCTTGAGGGCCTCTAGGGCCAGGAGGACCTGGGGGACCCTGCAAGAGAGAAAACACAAACAATATTACAAAATTATAAGTCTGAGCAAGAGGAAATGGGAAAAATAAGTTTAACTTGCTCCTTATTTTGAACAATCTTTGGTGAATCAACTTTATGGGGATGTTTAGAGGAGAAAGATCGTCTTACCATTGGACCAACATCGCCATTTTCACCTTTTTCACCTGGAGGCCCAGGAAGACCCTAGTGATAAGAAACAACAATAGAAATGCATAGTTTTAATTACAGAATAGTTCAAATAAAGGCCCAGGGCAGTAAACATTTTCTAGCCTAAGATTTGAGAAATCTAGATTTCCTTAGCATTTTTTTACTTCCAAAGTTCTAAAGTAAACACATGAAATCATACAGAGAATGAGGCCTTCATCTTGTTTTCTTTTTGTGGTGTCAATGCATTCCATTTTTATCTCATTGCATTCATTTTACTAACTGAATGTGCACTGCCGATTCATGAGAATGGTTCCCAAAGAACTCACCAACAAATGCCACAAATTGAAACATAAAACACAAAATGAAGTTATTCTAAAATGCAATTCAAGCACAATTAAAGATGGCTTCCATGATAAAATGTTTATTATTTAAAAGGCTCAGATAAAGAATGTTTTTTCCTGGCACTGAAATGTATGGTAGACTGGCAAGAAGTTTCAACTATTGAAAAGGACACCTATCATGATGCTTATCCCATCAGGATAAGCATCAGGATTTAATTTAATAGGAGCAAACTGCTTAATTTGAAGCAGTCTGATATTTCTGCAAATTGTTATTATTGGATTTTTATCCAACCTTTATTGCTTTATAAGTAACTGAAGGAGGTGAACACTTATAATGCGCCTTCCTCAGGGGTGGGTTTCAACCGGTTCGCGGCGGTCCCCGCGAACCGGTTGGTCGGCGAACCCGGAAGTAAGTAACTTCCGGGAACGGCGAAGGGCC